TGATAGTGTCATACAGCAAAACTGAGATCTCTACGCATGGGTTCCTGGCAAAGAATGAATATTAGAATTGCTAGTAGAGTAAGATTTTTCATTTGCTCTCATAGTGAAAATGCCTTCAGCTGCTTTATTAAAAGTACTCATACCCATTTACAACCTAGAAATAAAAACATTAAATCATTCAACAAGCCTTTTATTAAACAAGTATTTGGCCAACTTGCCAAAAGAAAAAACCCAATGGACCTGGCGCACACAACTGATCCTGTTTTTTTTTTGTGGGTGTGTCTCATTAACATCTAAATCAGATCCCTATCTAGTATAAGAGTCTAGTATAGGTGAATGGAATCTTCAGCCATTAGCTTACAAACAGAAGGAAGTGGCCAGGAGCTGTCATTTTGCTGGCAATTTAAACACTTTTTTCTTTGCTAATGCCGATGTTGCTGTAGTAGACTGTATATGTGGTTATTCTGTATCTATTCTTGTCAGTTTTGTGTTATCTCCTCTTAAAAGTCTGAGACATCACTATGATCTCTTCATGTATGAGCAATAAGCTGAGCTCTCTGTGCTGCAACCCCTTTGATATTTGTTATTTTTTTTAAATAAATATATATATACAGTTGTGCTTAAAAGTTTACATACCCTGGCAGAAATTGTGAAAATTGTGTCATTGATTTTGCAAATATGACTGAAAATGCCAAAAAAATACTCTTTTATTGAAGGATGATGATCATATGAAGCCATTTATTATCAAATAGTTGTTTGGCTCCTTTATAAATCATAATGATAGCAGAAATCACCCAAATGGTCATGATCAAAAGTTTACATACCCTGGAATGTTTGGCCTTGGTGCAGACACACAAGGTGACACACACGGGTTAAATGCCAATTGGAGGTTAATGTCCTACATCTGTGGCTTTTTAAATTGCAATTAGTGTCAGTGTATAAATAGCCAATGAGTTTGTTAGCTCTTACGTGGAAGCACTGAGTAGGCTAGATACTGAGCCATGGGGATCAGAAAAGGACTGTCAAAAGTCCTGCGTAACAAGGTAATGGAACTTTATAAAGATGGAAAAGGACATATAGAGATGTCCAAAGCCTTGAATATTCCAATCAGTACTGTTAAATCACCTATTAAGAAGTGGAAAGTTCAGAGATCTCTTGATACTAAGACAAGGTCAGGCAGACCAAGAAAGATTGCAGCCACAACTGCCAGAAGAATTGTCTGGGATTCAAAGAAAAACCCACAGGCAATCTCAAAAGAAAAACAGGCTGCTCTGGAAAAAGATGGTGTGGTTGTTTTTAAGGAGTACAATACGGTGATACTTGAACAAAAATGAGCCATTTGGTCGAGGTGCCAGAAAGAAGCTTTTACTGCACCAATGCCACAGAAAAGCCTGGTTACAATATGCCTGACAACACCTTGACATGCCTAACTGGGCCTTTTTTGTGTCATTGATGCAGTAAAGGATTCTTTCTGGCACCTCAGCCATGCAGCTCATTTTTGTTCAAATGTCATCATATTGTGCTCCTTCAAAACAACCACACTGTCTTTTTCCAGAGCAGCCTGTATTTTTCTTGTGGTTACCTATGGGTTTCCCTTTGTAATTCCTCTGGCAGTTGTGGCTGCAATCTTTCTTGGTCTACCTGACCTTGGCTTGGTATCAAGAGATCCCCAAACTTTCCACTTCTTAATAGGTGATTTAACAGTATTGATTAGCATATTCAAGGCTTTGGACATCTTTATATGTCCTTTTCCATCTTTATAAAGTTCCATTACCTTGTTACGCAGTTCTTTTCTCATCCCCATGGCTCATTATCTAGCCCAGTCAGTGCTTCCACGTAACAGCTAACAAACTCATTGACTATTTATACACTGACACTAATTGCAATTTAAAAAGCCACAGGTGTGGGACATTAACCTCGAATTGGCATTTTAACCCGTGTGTGTCACCTTGTGTGTCTATACCAAGGCCAAACATTCCAGAGTATGTAAACTTTTTTGATCCGGGCCATTTGGGTGATTTCTGTTATCATTATGAGCCAAACAACTATTTGATAATAAATGGCTTCAAATGACCATCATCCTTCAATAAGAGCATTTTTTGGCATGATCAGTCATATTTTCAATATCAATGCCAACATTTCACAACTTCTGCCAGTGTATGTAAACTTTTGAGCACAACTGTGTGTGTGTGTGTGTGTATATATTTATATATATATATGTGTGTGTGTGTGTGTATATGTATGTATGTATATGTGTGTATATTTATATATATATATATATATATATATATATATATATAGTTTATATTTAGCTCATTCTGGAACTATAAGGAAAGCTGGTGGACTGAAGGTTTTAGTTTCTCTGTGAACTCCTCCTTACCCCACAAACACACAGTTATTAACTTTTCATATCACTTGCCTGCTCCATTTAGTTTGTAAACTCTCATGAACAGGTCCGTCCTAACCCTCTTGTATTGAATTGTACTGTAAATGTGCGGTCGTCCTTTATTTTATAAAGTGCTGTGCAAACTGTTGTCTCGATATGAATTCTGACAAATAATAAAATAATAATATATAATTTAAGGATGCTGCTAGAGTATTACAATTCTGTTACAGGGGACCAAACAGTTCTGCTGAGGAAGTTTAACAATACTGTCAATAAATGAAAATAATGCTGCTGGGGGATTATCATGATGTTGTTGATTGATAATAATGGGACTACTGGGGGATTATAATGGTGCTTCAGGAGAAATATAATGATGTTGTTGGGAGATTATAACTATGCTACTAGTGATGATGTGGGGTATAATATTATATTGGTGCTGGTCATGGGTGAAAAAATTCTGTTGGTACAACACAATATATTCCTATGGTACTTGTGGTAGATGATGTCATTATAGTTTTGGGGTGAAATTATAAAACTAAGATGTTAGGGGAAAATGCTGCTGCTGCTGGAATTATGTAGAGGCGGAAAGTTCTGGTACCATTTTTATGCTTTCTAAAGTCCCAGCCGCACTGTGGTTTCAAGTCTTTTAGACACCAAGCAACACTCGTTCCTGTCAATGAGCTTGATATGCATTTCCAGCTACATCCACTGTAAATCAGACATTTTAACTAGTCAGCAGTAGAGCAAAATTCTAGACTGCAACATTGTTGGCTTTGGTAGTTAATCATATCAGATTACAAAAATGTAACTTCTTTTTATGGTTTACTGAACATGGGTATAGAAAAGAAAACAATTCTATAAGTGCAGAAGCTACACACATATACTGTATGTATTTTTTTTAAGTGAAGCAATAAAAAAGACACATTAATCTAACCAATGTTCCTGGATACTGTAGTTTGATACAAAGAATTAAAATGCTGTATATTTGTAATCAACTAAGGAGTCTATGCACAGGTAACATAATGTAGTAACAAATTGAAAGCTGTTAAAAATACAGTTGAATTATATATTATTAATGTTGTATCTGCTTAAGGGGTTGTAATTCTGTTCAGAAACGTTTGTGAAATAAGCACCCCTGCAAAGCCAGCATCGTTGATTTTCATTGTAGCATTAGCATAGAAGATTGGACAAGGAATGAGCAGAAGAACAATGATAAGGTCATCACACAGGAATGCTCAAACATGGCACTCTAAATATTTTTCCATATGTGCTTCTTTTAAAGAGGACCAGAAAAAAGTGGAAGCTGTAAATAAAAAATAAATCAAGCAAAGGACAAAGTGCCACCAGTCACCAGTATTGCCCATTTCTGCAGCTAATCTTTCCCAATTACCGACTATCCATGCCTTTTTCCGCACTGTGTTTCTGGGTAGACGTTTGTAGTAGAACAGAACATTGCTTCAGCATGTCAGACCCCCCCCATAGCAGGTAATGTGATGATTGGTGGAGAAATATATAAAAAAAAAAATCAGCAGAAGAGGTGAAAAAAGATACACTGAATGAATGAAGCAGAAGCAGGGAGATCCTTGCACTACAGCTTTCTCTCCAGCAAGGAGAACAGTGAGCAGCACAGCGGTGTCATCAGCAAATCTTTCTTCAAATTCAGTGAAACTAACAGCTACAGTGCTTTAGCTGATCTCACACTGTAGATATATAGCTAAATTTTCAGCGTACTGCTTAGGTGCAAATAACATTTCGAGATGTTTCCTATCATAAATCTTAATTTTTTTTATTATTATCATATAGCATTTGTTTTTGTATGCCTATAAAAGGAAACTTTTTTCCATTTTTTGTAAAAGCTTTACTTTAGTTGCTTTTGTTTAAGTGTTTAAGATTTTAAAGAGTTTTTCATTTAACACATGAAAAAAAATTATTCTAAAACTGAACCTCCTCTTCTGGGGTCCCCTACGGGTGCACCGTTCCTTCTCTTCTGTGTCTGCCTCCATAGCAAGCCACTTGTTATGAAGGCAGGCATGTGGGCTTGCTTCCAAGCTGGACTGTGTGTCTCTATAGACACAAAAAGCCCCTGCCCCCCACTCTCTGCTCACAGGATTTTACTCACAGCAGCAGGAGCCAATGGTTTCCACTGCTGCACAAACATCCTGTGAGAAGGGAAAGAAAAGGGAGAAGAACTGCACTTGGGCACAATGCTGGATCATTATAGGACTCCGGTAAGTGTTTTGGGGATGGGGCACAGCAAGTGGTAAGATGTTTTTTAACTTTAATGCAGGGATGCATTAAAGGATAAGTTCACCTTTTATAACATGTTACATGTTCCACCCATATTCAGGGTGTAACATGTTACAAATGGACTGGTGCCTGCATCCCCTGATCTCTGTTGTGACAGCTAGCAGGGGATTTTCTCCCCCCTGCTAGCTGTTCCAATTTAACCACTTGCCATCCGCTCTATAGCAGCAAAGTCCTGCCACAGGGTGGCATGTCTGCGCAAAATTGTGTATATACACGCGATTCGCATTTCTGGGTAGGGGGCGCGCATGCTACTCTATCTGCACCACTGTTGGCAGCTGGGGATGTCAATCATCTCATCCTGGTTGGCAAAGCTGACAGGGAAGAGACCTGTGTGTAAACAACACAGGTCTCTCTCCTGCCAACATGGACATTCTGCTTTGTATCTCTCTGCACAGCAGAGAAATACAAAGCAGCATGTCTCCTAAGTAAAACCGCACACAGCATACAATGTAAAACACACACAGCACAAAGTTAACCCTTTGATCACCCCAGATGTTAACCCCTTCCTGCCTGGTGTCATTAGTACAGTGTCAGTGCTTTTTATTAACACTTGATCACTGTATTAGTGTCATTTGTGATGTCAGTGGCAGTTAGTCAGTTCCAACCCAGTATCAAAAAGCCTGCCACAGTCCCTCAGTCCCACTATTCCTGATCACTGAGTCACTGATTGCCGCCATTACTAGTATATAAAAGAAAAAAAATTCCAGTATATATACCGCCATTTGTAGACGCTATAACTTTCACGTAAACCAATTATTATACACTTATTGGGATTTTTTTTTTTTAGCAAAGACATGTAGCAGAATACATTTTGGCTTAAATTTATGAAGAAATTTTGTGGGGGTTTTTTTTTTTTTCAAAATTGTTGCTCTTTTTTTGTTTATAGCGCAAAAAATAAAAAACGCAGAGGTGATCAAATACCACTGAAAGAAAGCTCCTATTTGTGGGAACATATGACATAAATGTATTACATTTATGTACAGCACTGCATGACTGCACAATTGTCAGTTAAAGTAATACAGTATCGTATCACAAAAAATGGCCTGGTCAGGAAGGGGGTAAATCTTCTGAAGGGCAAGTGGTTATAAAAAACACAACTGTGTGGGGCTCCACATCACTCATTCACAGTGTTCTGTGAATAGGAAAACTACAAGTCTCAGCAGCCTTTGTGGCTTTTGGCTTGTAGTTTTCAATGAACTACCATGGTGCTCCACAGCTCTGTGGTAGTTCATTGAGCCTTCCTGACAGTAAGTATCTGTTTATCAGTGCGGGATGTACGGGTAAGAAGATATACTGACAGGTCAGTGGGAGACCTGCATGGCGCCAGCGATCTGCTGATCGCTAGTGCAATGCTTTAGAGGCTCCACAAACAAAAATAATAAATGCACATTGTTTTACCTGAAAAAAAAAATGTGCATTTCATATTTTTTGGTAAAAGGTGAACTTCTCCTTTTAAGGTAAAAATATTTTAGCTTTAATAATCTCCTTTCATGCAAGCTACCTTTCAGATAAAGCTGAGATTGATACGTCTGATAAGAAATTAGTTGCTTTGATAGTTCATTCAGTTTTGTGTGTACATTTTACCTTGAGCTACTAAACTCTGTGAACAGCAGGCTCTTTTTTCTCCACATGGCGTGTGGAAAAGAAAATAATGGAAGTATATTCCTTCAATAGCTGGCTAATTTCACCAGCAAAGAGGTTATATACTAGGAGTTGAGAATCTTCACACAACAAATTGAGTGAATATTCACTTCAATTATTTAATCATGTAAGAAGCAAATCCCTGTTCAATTTGAATACCCAATCACATGCAGATTACATAAGTAAACAGAATTTGATTTTTACATGAATGGATAAATAAAGTGAATATTAAGTCACTTTATTGAGTAAAAAAAATTCTAATTTCCTTCAGTAAATCGGCTTCATTTCTTTCCATTATTTCATGTTTACCTGACGAGAACAAAAGAAAACAAATTGTATCCTGATTATAATACCGATAGAAAATATATACCAAATCACTATACAGTATATTCCATTTAAAGGTTTTGTAAATCTTTCTCCATTTTTTACAAAGCTTCCTGGCTGGAAGTTTCACTTTAGTTTTTTTATTTATAACCTTTTTTACATGACATGGGATTGATTTACTAAAAACTGGAGAGTGCAAAATCTGGTGCATCTCTGCAGCTCTGCAGAGAAACAAATCAATGTCCAGGTTTTATTGTCAAAACTTAATTGAACAAGCTGAAGATAGAAGCTGATTGGCTACCGTGCACAGCTACACCAGATTTTGAACTCTCCAGTTTTAGTAAATCAACCCCAATGTCTCATTATTGGGAATGCAAGGATGTATAACCTCTGTCTAGACATGTCAATTGTCTGCTTGTAGAGAAATCATGTATTCATGCAGAATGAATCCATCAATGGGTCAGATACAAATGGGAGACAAGTAAGAAAATATTGCTAAAGTCACTGATAGTGTTGTATCCTGCATATGATCTTACACTGTTCCTGTTATATTTTCATTCCAGTGATAACATCATATATTAAACACAACATTCTATTAGAGACTAACTGCACTAAATGGGCAGTTGGACCAATAAACAATCATTTCAGCAAAAAAGGATCAACCAAATCATTCATGCATTGGGTAATCATTTTCAAGAAAAAGTAATCTGAAATTATAAAATGTATGATTGATTGTTAATCATTACATGTATGGATGTAATGAGTCTGTATCCATCAATCTTTATTAGCAGATATGTTTGTAGGTGTTTTCTCCATGTATTGTATATAGGATACATCAACTTACAAATTTAAAACTATAAAATGCTGTCATTTGCTTGATGAATCTTTGCTTTTACAACAGTAGAATATTGATAACAAAAGTTTAAACATTAAAATCGTGGATGCTTGCAGTTTGATTAATTCCATCAAATCCTTCCTTGTACTCACTTATGCCCTTGAAATTCTGTGTATCTACAGTTAGAAATTAATGTACACAAATTTGTCTTGGATGATGCTGGGCTTTAGGGTTATGCTTGTGGGCCAATGGTAAACAAACCAACATTTTTTTAAATAGAGAACATTTGTATATCACCACTCCCTTATATATAATTAAAAAAATAATACTGAGGTTATTGTTAGAGACCTGCAAACCATTCCTTTACATACCTGTGATCTATGAAACATCCAAGACTATAGAATTATAGTATATAGGTTGGTGTACAAAGCCATACTGATTACCAAATGTTTATGCAGCTACTTAAGTCTTAAAGCAAATGTACACATATTCACTAAAATCTCATAAATAATTCGACATTTAAAAAGTAACTGCAAAAGTCATGCCTAATATTTTTAGATCTGCAGCCTTCATTAAAATAATATATAAATAGATTAAAAAAAACCTTGAGATTACCCCATAAGGGCATTGTGCAGTCACTTTTTGCTATAGGGTAACAATGTTTTGTTGCTGTCTCCCCATACTTCTCTTGTGTTGTAATCAGTGGTGTATGTAGGTTTTGTGCTGTCCTAGGCAACACAAAAATCGGCCACCCCTCTGTGTAGAGAGCCTGACACCGACCAACACCACCCCCCTGGAGGAGAGAGCCTGACACCGACCAATGCCACCACCCTGCAGGAGAGAGCCTGAGACATTGACCAACAATACCCCTGATCCCCCACCGAGAGAGCCTTCCTCTACCATTGTCCCCCATATACTGCCTTCCTCTCCTGGCCAGAGAGAGAAGGATAATCTCCTTCACAGCTCTGGACATCCTCGAGAATGAGAGTCGGACTCTGCATATACCATCAAGCAGCCCACAGCCTCTCTCGGATCCCACCTGGGTCCCATGCCGCGTGTGTCTTCTTCTGTTCCTTCTTCTGGGGGCAGCACTGCCCCCCTGAAAAATTCTCCCCTAGGCAAATGCCTGGTTTGCCTTGTGCTAAATACGCCCCTGGTTGTAATCCTGTCATGTGTGCTTCCACTGCAGACTGTGGACCTGAATTAATAAAGGCAAATAGGCTGCTCATTTTTCAAGATATTTCCTTAGATTAGTGAATGAGGTGAAGCTCTACTGACTTCCATCATCCAATCATTTGAATTAAAAAAAATTGTTTTTTTTTCTTTGCATGTGATTGGACATTCTTTGTAAGGTGGATAAGCTAAAGGAAAATTCCCTTACAAAGTTAAAATTTCCTTGCAAAGTGAACTGCATTTTTACTTTTAGTGAATCAACCCCTATAAAATGCCTTCTAGTGCTCACTATGTAGGCTTGTTTTACTGTTGTCACCATCAGCAAAACACCCTGATGATTAACATGGAGAGATACGTTTTAGCAAACTAAATGTCCTTTAGTTAGGGTTTACATGACCTTGTCAGGTAAATATCTGGAACAGAGTTTTTATGAATTCAGGGCTTTGAAAGGCCCCATAAAGAAGAACATTAATCGCAAACCTCTCTGTTGTTTTAAAATTTTTAACTTTTAGCGTAACAGCAGACAACGCAAGATGACATGAAAACCTCCTCTGTGTGCATCTATGAAATTTGTTACACTTAGTTATAAGGCACTTTATCTCTCTTGTCCCTGTCCTATTAGAGTGCGCAAATTGGCCATTGAGACACAAGGCAGGGTGGCAAGCTCCTCACTCTCCTAGTAAGAAAATGAAACCAGGTTTAGAAAGGTACAGGGAACAGACCTTTCCAGACAACAAAATTGATATATAGACATTTGTGGTACAAGCTGTTACAAGGAGTTATCCTCTGAAAAATTTTAAATGGTGAAAAGTTCACCTAAAGCTATTGTAAACCACTGAAAAGAAAAATGAACAAAGTATATCCTCATATAGTATATACTAGTGTAGAACCCCCTAGTGTGCTACCAGGGTTAGTGTAAGTAAATTTATTGTGTACGACTTATGGTAACTGTTTGAGCCTGTAATTAGGTTGAGTTACTGCAGATCAGGCTTGGTGACGTAACAGGTTGGGACTTCAACCTCCACTTGGTTCTAGAGGACCATGGAAGCTTCCAGAAGCCAGTGGGCGGAAGGGGTGGAGAGCAAAATTTGCATGTTTATGGGAGTCTAGCCAATCCCAGGTTTGGAGGCCCTAGTAGAGTGGTAAGGCCAGTGGAGCCAGGCTGGCAGGGGTGGAAGATGGAGTGCTGGGGGAGGCTGTCGGTGACCTGAGAGGGGTCCCCTAGGACTAGGGGGCTGGCCACCAGGTTGGGCTCGGGGCTTGCTCAAGAGGATCTATTCAGCTTCACGGTATGAACAGGATCAAGGCCTGGGAGCAGAGGGAGCAAGGTGGACAGAGTGAGTACATCAGCACACCCAAGGATTCACAAGGGGAAAGACTGCCATGTGTAGCAAGCTTTCAAAGGACAGTGATAAACCCTTTATCCTTGTCCAGGGAAATCTTCAGAGAAGTCAGGAGGGCTGGTAATGTCTGCAGGCTGTGGAGCTGGGAGCAGTTTTACAGGGGAGAGGAGATATCTCTGAAGATATCATGAGACATCATGAAGTTTGCAACAATCTAAGCTAACTTTTAGAGGGGATGAGAGCCCCTAGCCCATAAGCGGCTCTACTGATCCATAAAGACTGAGCACATTCAAGGAGAATAGTCCAGGATTTGTTTTTG